TTAGAGGAACATCCTCTACCTTACCCTTTGGTAATTTAATAGAGCGATCGGCCAATTGTAGGGTGATGTTGGTGGGTACGAGTTCCCCTATCCCAAGTCTTTGGTATACCGAGTATGGCATTAGGCTAACACTAGCCCCTAGGTTACACAAAGCATTATCAATTTGCATCTTGTATATTGCACATGGGATACAAAAGTTATCGGGGTCTTTCAATTTGGGTGGCATCTTGTTCATGATTATTGCACTACAATTCTCGGTGAAACTCACCGTTTCAACCAACTCACACTTTCTCCTTCCACTCAAAATATCTTTCAAAAACCTTGCATAGTTAGGCATTTGCTTGATAGCATCGGTAAAAGGAATTGAAAGGTGAATTTGTTTCAATGTTTCAAGAAATTTTCCAAATTGCACATCTAATTTGTTTCTAAAAAATTTGTGAGGATATGGTAGCTTTTGCAACTGTTTTGTTTCTCTCTATTTTTCTCTTCTCTCTTCACTCTCTTTTTCAAAATCTTTCTCTTTCTCAAATTCTTTTTCTTCCTCACACTCTTTCTCTTTTTCATTCTCATGGTTTTGCTCTCTCTCTTGTTCAAAATCGCTTTTAAGGGGAGGCTCACTCATGTTCATTCTCTCATTGCCTTTTTTAGGAACAATTTCTTCCAACACTTTACCACTCCTTGTTGATATAACATTTACGGGCCTCTTAGGATCTAGTCCTTGGGGTGGTAGTTTAGAAGTGCTAGTCCCTTCCTTCAAAGCATTGGCCAATTGAGAAATTTGTGTCTCTAGCATTTTATTATGGGTCATCACTTCACTAAATTTCTTTTCACTAGAGGCCATGAAAGTATTGAACATTTTAGTTTGATTTTCCATCATTTACTCCAAGCTAGACCTACTATGTGGTGATTGTGCATAGTAGTTGTCTTGGGAAGCCCTATTACCTCTAACATTTGAATTGGACGCATTTTGATTAGAAGAACCTCTATTATTATTGTTGTTCCAATTGTTCCGATTATTAGAGTTTCCCCCTTGGTGAAATTGCCCTTGATTCCCATGGTTTCCTTGATTATTATGATTATGGTTACCATAACCACCTTGTTGGTTGTAGTTACCTTGGGGATTTTGGCCCCTTTGGTTCCTATTTCCCCATTGATTTTGGTTATGGTAATCGTAATCATTTCCTCTTTGGTTATAGGAATTCCCCCCTTGTTCTCTTCTATTTGGTGGTAAGTATCTTTGATTGTCATTCCTATGTCTATTATCATAAGACAAGGCATTTACTTGTTCATTTTCATTACCATCTTCGTATTGGGGTTGGGGTTGGGAATCATAATTACAAGAAGAAGTATCATGGTCATATGACCCACAATTTTCACAAAACAAACATCCATGAGGCATGTTATTAGAAGTAGAGGGAGAAGGGTTAGAATTCATACCTCTCCCCCTAGATTGGGAGGGATGCTCTTGTGTCGAACTAGAGTTCTCTAGTTTTGCCTCAATGGACGTCATCTCCTTTCCAAGGTTGGCGATTTGGGAAGTCAAATTGTTGATGGCATTAAGGTGATCAACGGAGTAAACCGCATTTCCTCCCTTGTTTAGAGAATCTCTCTCTCCTTCTTGCCAATCCTTGTGGTGCCTCACCACATCCTCAATTATCTCTATGACTTGCTCCTCCGTCTTGTTCATAATCGGGCCACCCGCTCCCGCATCCAAGCTAGTCTTTCCTTGTGGGCTCAAGCCCCCATAAAAAAAATTAGAAGCACTTGATATGACGGAATTCCATGATGAGGGCACTCCCTTTGATATTCCTTGTATCGTTCCCATGCTTCATATATGGTTTCACTAGCTTTTTGACGGAAACCTTGGATCAAAGCCCTTGCCTCAGTCGTCTTCTTTTGAGAATAGAATCTTCCTAAGAAAGCCGTGGTGACCTCGTCCCAAGTTCTCAAGGAATTAGGCCTCACCTCCTTCTCAAGCCATTCAAGAGCCCTTCCTATCAAAGAAAAAGGAAATAGCTTTAGTCTCACAAACTCTTGAGTTACCCCATTTACCTTGATTGTGTTGCAATATTTTTCAAACTCGTTCAAGTGTGCAAGAGGGCTCTCATGTTTTGCTCCACTATATTGCCTTCTTTCAATCAAATTTATCATTGCGGGCCGAATCTCGAAGTCATTGGCTTGAGTGACGGGTGGAGCAATGCCACTTGAAGCTCTATAAGCTCCCGGAGTTCCCAACTCCTTTAAAGGTCTTTGAAGTGGTGGTTCCGCGTCACCCATTTGATCTCGATCCTCCTCGAAATTGGTCTCTCTAGTTGGGGGAGTAGTAAACGGCCTAGAACCGGCTCTTTTTCTCCTTCTATAAGTTTGCTCAATCTCGGGATCGTAAGGTACCAAGATCCTGTTATGAGTTCTGCGCATACACTCTCAACAAACGCAATTAGTACCAAGGCTACAAGTGTAGCCAAAAAGAAACAATCTTTTTGAAATTTTTTTTTGTTTTATGGTGAACTAGACTCAAGTAATCAATTAGCAATCAACAACACCGTTCCCCGGCAACGGCGCCATTTTGATGCGCGTTAGAACGGTCGCACATTCCACACTCAATCAAACACATTTATTAACAAACACCTTACAAACCAAGCATAATGACAAGTAAGAGTTCGGTCCACAAGGAACGGGATATGGTTGCCAAAGATCTTAACACTTAAGATAATTCGAAGTCAATGGTGAATTGGGGTTCGTCAAGAAGACAAACAAAATATGGTTCTAAATCAATGGATTGAGGACACTAAGGAATGGGATCCACTCGACCAAGGCAAATAGACAAACGGGGAGTGAAATTGATAAGATATAGCAAGGACTATATGTAAGATCAATCTCATGCAATTGGGAAACAACTCACACTACTAAACTTAGATTCCTCATTAGTTTAGCAATAGAAGATACATAATCAAATTCCAATAAGTAATGCCATGCTTTATTCACATTTCCATGTCAAACTAAGCATATCATGCTATCAAGCTCCTAAATCAAGGGTAGCTAATCCTATCATTGAAGAACTAACAAGCAATCTCATATAATCAATTTAATTGCAATACAAGCATCAATGCTTCTCCCACATTTGCATAATTAACCCAAAAGGTTGAGCTTCACCCAACCCCTAGCAAGTAGACTACTCACAACTCATATTTATCAACATGCAAACAAGTATTAGGGTTCTAACTTCTTCAATAATTGGGGAAAAATGATTAACAATTGAAATAACTATCATCCAATAACAAATTATCAAGAACTAAGAAGATTTAAATATCATGCAACAACAAATAAAATCAGAAATTAAATGGAGAAAAGTAGAAGGAAGTTACTAATTGAGGCTTGAAATTGTTGAATACAAAGTGCCAATCTTGAGAAACAAACTTGAAACCAACTATTACAATGATTGAATTGATGCAAATTAAGCTAAATTAATTAAAAGGAATGTTTCAAACCAAGAGGAGTCTCTAAAAACTAGGCTATATATGTCTAGGTTACAAATGAATAAAAGAAGAAGTATTTATACTCCCCGTAACACATAGGGAAATCTGTCAAAGAAAACGGATTTCCCAGCGAGGAGCGCCCGCTCCGAAAGTAGGAGCGCCCGCTCCACAGCCAGGAGCGCCCGCTCCTCAAGGTTGCACGCCCGCTCCTCACAGGGTGTGCAATTCTTGAAGCTTTGGCAGAAAGATCGGAGCGCCCGCTCCTGAGGGGTGCACGCCCGCTCCTGCTGGAGCGCCCTCTCCATTCTTTAATTCTCTTGCCTTAAACACAAACCATGCACCGAAAGCTTGCCAAATTGAGTCCATAGACTTGCAAAACATGGACAAACACAAACCAAGAGGGGGAAAGCCGAGACAAAACATTTTCATTCAAAATTGGGTTAGAAAGAGGGGAAATGATCGCAAAACCGGGTTTAAAATAACACAATAAGTGGTAAAATAAACCACTTATCATTTCCTAGAGGTAAGAACTGTCTCCAACTCCTCTACTTCACGCATCCTTCCCTTCCTGGGAGATGCTTTAAGCTATCTCCCCCATCTGAGCCTCTGTTTCTTACTCTCTTCCGAGACAAGGCAACAATCCCTTTCCGAGTGTCCAATCACACCACAAGCATAGCAAAAATACGGCAATCGTTCATAGGCAAATTCAATACAAATTTCATAACCACTCTTGTCAAGGACTCTCTGAAATCTTCTCAAGTGCTTAGTAATACTGATCATAATCTTGGCACGCCGGAATCGATCCAACCCCAGCATATCCTCTTCCATCTCCAATACCTCACCCCAATTTGCCACCAACTCCTTAACATACTCATCTGACCTGCAATTGAAAGGTAGGTGTTTAATTCTTACCCAGAACGGGCAATGAAACAGGGGAATTTTTTTAGGCTGCTCATTCCCTTCTACTTCCTTTAGAACAAGCAATAAATTATCAAAGCACCATGGACGCCCAGTCAAAACTTTCTCCTTATCCCTCCAATGAAAGAATTGGAAAGCGAAAAGGTTCGGCCCTAAGGCCCTAATCACTACTCTGTCCTGTAACGCCCAAACCTTCGTCATAGTATTCTTGAAGGCCTCAACGTTATAGGGTCTCTCAGTCACAAGTCGGCCAATCAACATCAAGTGGAAGTTCTGTTTCTTAGAGGATGAGTCCACCACACCCAAATCCACCACGCCCCCATCCTCATCATCAAGCTTAAGGTTCGCATAGCGATCAGCAATGTCATCCGCCATAGAATTCCAAAGAAAGCAATCAGATCACAAACGCCGAAGCAAACGGCAGCAAAACCCTAGGCACACTAGAGAGAACGACCCTTTCTTTCGAGGGAGTACTATTTTGGCTTTCTTGAACAAAAAAATATTTTTAAAAGGTCTTCTTTGGCAAAAAAAATTTTAAAAACAAAAAGGTGACTTTAAAAGGTTTTTCCTAACAAGTGAATATTGAAAATTTCCAACTCCTAGTATATGCAAGATTGATCACTAGTTGTCGTTGTGCCAAGTCATACAAGTGCAAATCTGCAATAGAGTTGGTGGTAAAATAGGGGTGTGGGCGGTAGCAATTGTGGAATTCTGGAATACTGGTCTCTCCCAACTGCAATCGAGTCGGTGGTAAAATGAAGAATGGAGAAGCCAGGCTTTTGCTGGGATTCCCTCCCAATTCTCGTCCCACCCCTTCTCAGGTAAATACCCTAATTTTGACCTAATCATTGGTGACATCAATTTACTGCTAATTTTTTTGTTTTCTTCTTCTAAATTGACGGGGAAGGTATTATTAGCTGTTTTATGGAAGATTTTAACATATATACCATCATATGCTTGGATTCTGTTCTCAATCATTTTTTTACTATTACAAGTAGTCGAGTATTGTAAAATTATCCAGATTAGCCTTTTACCTTACTTTATTGCTTACTTTTATGCTGAAATTGTTTTACTAACCAAATCTTATTTTGTGGTCATCGTTCATGTTAGCAATCCTCTAATGATCTTTCTTTGTATGTTTCTGGTGGTGGTAGTGGCGGCGGTGGTCTAATTGCATTATTTGCATATTTGCATGTGTATGTTGTTATAACCTGGAGTTGTTTTAAAGGTTCTAAGACCATGATTGCAGGTGAAAGCAGCCTATAAAAGTAAGGTTTGGGATTCTCACCCCGATCGTTTTCCAGCTGACAAAAGAAATTATGCTGAATCACGATTCAAAATGGTATAATAGGCATTTTCTCTCTTCCATTTGTCTAATCATGGATTTTGTAATTTCATAAAACCATTAGCACAGATGGCTTAATTTTCTATAATTTTTACTTGTTTTAATTTTCACTCCGCAGATTTCTGAAGCCTATAGTTGCCTCTTGCCTGGTAATTGTTTACCTTCATTTCTTGTAGTTGCAGCTTCCAGTTAATCTCCTACATTTGTTTTTCTAATCTAACAGATAAAAACATTGAAAAAATTCTGACTGTTCCATTTCACTTCATTATATGAGCTGATTATATATTACCCTTAGTATCCCAATTTCTTTATTTTCTAGACAGGGGCCATTTTACAATGGTATTGTGCACAAACTTTTAAGATGGGAGTAACTAAAAGCAGACATAACCCATCTATTTGCTTCAGGTAATAATTTACATATTATGCCAATTCTAGGTGTTCATTGGGCTTGGGGAGGAAAGAAATGAGGAAACGTTTTTAAGTGCTAATGACCTTGGTGCTTCTCTCCTGATAATTCTGGAACACTACACCCCTAGTAAATGTGATGCACTGTCAAAAACTCTGCTTTGACATCTAACAGTAAAAGATCAATTCTGCTAATGAGGTTACAGTGTCATCGTTTTTCTGTTTCTTTTGATGTGTCATGTGTCATTTTTTTTTTGTGGCTGATTGTAGAAAATAGGTCATGTCATTTGCGGTAGTTTGGTACCTTGTTAAGAGCTGAAAAGCAGTGGTCTGTCAAGTTCCTTGAGTAGTCTAAAAGACTAAAACCATAACATGGTAACATTTTTGCATCTGAGAAATGGCTGCTACAATTTCATGAATTATGACGTTAGTGAGCTAAAATCACAACCCCTTGGCTATTTCCAAGGTTGTATAAGGTTACACACTGCTGATGGCAATGTTTTATTGATGATATAGTGATGCATTTTTATGTTCGGTTGAAATAGTAATCTAAATCTAGTGTAATTGGAATCTGCAGGTGGAGGAATTTCAAGTTCAGGTAGCATGTTTTTTTATTTTTAAATTAATTACTTAATACATGCCACATTTATAATTTTATACGTCTTGTCATTGATGATATAATATTAGCTACTTACACATGGGTCATGCGGACTGGGGTACCAAGGGTGCATGGAGGTGGAAGACATCATCTTTTAGTTGGCCTTCCCTTCCTTTTTGTTATGCTTGGAACAGTTGGACTTGGAAGTCTAAATATTACCAGGTACAAAACTTAAGCTTTGAGGTGTAGGATACCAAAACTGATCTTGGTGTTGTTGAAAGACTACTATTGGGTTCAGTATCATCATACTTCTGATTATTGATACTTTACTTCTCAGGGCTTACAGAAAGGAAAGAGAAGCAAATCCATCACATAATCCTTTTCTCCCCTAATCTGAATATTGGCAGTCAAATTCTTAAAATAACACTGTTGAGGAAATCGGCCTAATGATAGATGAGTTCTTTACTCAGGAACTGCTGCTTTTTCAACCAAAACTTTACGGCTGCCCATGGTTGTCTGGATGTTGGTTACATTGAAATCGGTCTTCAGACAGTGGCGTGTGGTAAATAATGCAATACGAGAGTTGAAGTATTAAATTTTACAGATTCTTGATCCGGGGGAAGCTATAACCATGCAAAAAGCCCGTTCCTTATGTTTCAAGTCAACTTTCAACCATTGTTAATTTCATGAAATAAATATGCATGTGATATTTTAACCAAAAAGCACATACTGTTCCAGCTTCTGTTCAATGTCAAAAATTATGTAATGTTGAACCTTATGATTGACAATCCTCCTGGATAACAAGGGAGAGAAAGAAATTAAGAGTTACATATACAATATTTTGATATGAATGGTGTCCTTCAAACAAGTGTATTATTCCGATAGAGGGTTCGAAAATATTAGAATGTTAATTATTCAGTGAGGTCAAGTGATCGAAATGCCTAGATAGAAGTCGTTTTCGATCAGTAATATTAATGTATAATTAATATTACAGCTTAAACTTGATTGAACCCTTCGGGTCACACCCAAGCAACTAACAAAACGACGTGACGAATTAATTCGGAAGGAATTAATGAGTCACCCGAGTAATTAATATTAGACGTCGGAAATTTGAGCTTAGAGCGTCGAATCCGAGCGTTGGAAGTCGAGTCGATATAATAAAGGACGAGACGGTAAAATTACTAATAAAGGAAGAGCAAATCTCACTCATGTTTTTCCCTATAAATACCCAAGTTGGGGTATTGGGAAAATCACTTAAGTAAGGTGTTGAAAAAAGGCATCTCCATTGAGAAAACCTTTGAACACATATAGTTACTCGGGTTTAGGTCGGGCTTAGCTAACCTCTAAGCATTGGATCATTGTCGGGGTCGAGTTGCGGGTGGAATCCTGTTGGAGGTCTTCGTGCGAGCGAGATTTAGAGCTTTCGAAGTAAAAGCTCTTGTAGTGAACGAAGCACGCGTCAAAGGTATTAATCTTTTTCTTAATTCTTTTTGTTTAAGTTAAATATGCTTTATGATTATATTAATTGTGAGTGTGGTCTTGGCTCGGGTTTTCTTTCGAGGTGAGTCAGACTCATCGAAACCCAATAGCGGTATCAGAGCCTTGCTCATTTATTTTTATAATCATATTTTCAAGGTGTTTTTATGGCTTAATTTTTATGGTTTTATGTTGTTAATTAGATTAGTAGCTCGGTTTTAATAATTATAAGCTCGTATTAAAGCTGTCTTCAGCCTAAAACCCAGATTTTCGCCCAAAAATAGTGAATTTTGGGTAGGTTTTTTAGGTTATATTCAATTGTAATTTTATTTTGTTTAAATTCTATCAATTTGTTCTATGTATGAATTTCAATTTATTATGTAGTGATTTCGTAATGAATTTTGATCAATTTGATTAGGTTTGTGAACATGTAATTCATATATATATTGAATTTACGTCCTTTATTATGAACATAAGAAAATTGAAGAAATAAAAAAATAAAATGATTATGAAACATATGCATTATAAGTATTAAAAATATGAACATATGGATCGAAAATATGAATATATGCATTTTAAAAATGAACATACGCATTCAGAATACGAACATATGCTTTAGTTCATTTATTGAATGCTTATGAACAAGCATTTCAGAAGGTGAACATATACATACAAAATATGAATTTATGAATTTCAGAAAATGAATATATGCAATTCAGAAAGTGAATATATGCATTTCAAGTTTACATAAGCATTTAAAATATAAACATAAGCATTTACAAAAGTGAACATATGCATAAAAAAATATAAATATATGCATTTCATAAAGTGAACCTAAGCATTCAATATATGAACATAAGCATAATTAGACAAAACAGACAAAACGATAACATTTTTTGAAAATTAAGAACATTTATCATATGAACAACAAATATTAATATTATAAAGATATGTTTAGTTTTTTGGGTGGGCTCATTTTGGTTTGGGGCTTTTTATAATGGGGTGTGTTTGAAATTGGGCTTGTGGGCTGGTGTTGCAACTAATATAGATGCACAAGGTTGCAGCTTAGACCAATTGCCTAACCCCATGATCAATCTCGACTAGGGATGTCAGTGGGGCGGGTCAAGTAGGAGACCCGCCCCACTAGGGCGGGGATGGGTCTCGGTTTGGCGGGTGGTGGGGCGGGGATGGGGATATAAACCATACCAGCCATGGGTGATGAGGCGGGGGTGGATTTTAAGTTGTACCCGCCCCACCCGCCTCACTTCGTACTCGCCCCATCCCCACCTCATACCCACGTTTATATATCTTTAAAAGCAAAATTATATACTTTTATACTATTTTATAAAATAATAACGTGAAATAAAATATTAATTATAACACTTTGTAATACACTTATATTATAAAAAAAAATGTGTGTAATATTAATTTTTTTTTAATTATTATAATCCGTATTAATTACGTAGAATTGTGTATTTGAGAGACGGAGATTAGGTGGGTCTTGGGTGGGGATTAGGCGGGTCTTTGGTGGGGATGGATATCCAAGTAGGGGGTGGGGATGGGGATGAATATTAGACCCGCCGTGGGGATGGGGATGGGAAGGCCAACATCCGCCCCGCCCCGCCCCGCCCCATTGACATCCCTAATCTCGACTCTCTATACAAGAACACTTCAATAAGGCTAATTTCCTGTTCCTCATTGTGAGAAACAAGTTTCGTTTCTCATGGGGTAGAACCGACATTTCAACGCCCAAAAGCCATTTGTTGTCAATGTTGATGTGTCCTTGTTAATATTACGTGGTTTACTTGTTTGCCAGCTGTATTATCAGAGGGAGAACCAATGCTTGACACCGTTAACTTTCAACGTTTATGTCCATTAAATTAATTTTTAAATTTTTGACTGGTGAAGAAGGCAATCGGTTTTACCTAGGCTGAAGAAGGCACGAATTTGCTGAAGAAAGCATGGATTCTTAGGGGTTTGCGGTCGAATTCTGGGCGGAACACAACTTGAATTGGTCCAACTCGCATTCTGGATCACCGATTGAACTCGACATATGCCGGACGAATTCAAATTCGTGGTTCCAGGTAACTTCTCAAGCAATTTCTCTAATCGAACATTATTTTCCCACATTCCTCCTTTTTTCCCTCTTAAACAGCCTGCTTGATTATTTGAATGTTGATGGGGTAGGTAACAATGGCCTTAATTAGTATTGATTTGGTAATTTATGGAATTAGCCATTCGAGTTAAATTGTGGATTTAAGGAATGAGCATAATATAGGTAGGATATCAGTAAAATTATGGAATTAATACAAGAATGTTTCCCTAATTCATTAATCCAGCTATTATCGGACATTGTTATTGCCCCAGTGTAACTCACCACCTATTTGAATTTTTGCTAATTATTCATCAATTCATTAATCCAGCTATTATCGGACATTGTTATTGCCCCAGTGTAACTCACCACCTATTTGAATTTTTGCTAATTATTCATCAAATTTTTAAATATTGTGACTGAATGAATTGTATTTGTTTGGTTAAAGGCAAGTGTAATAATATGAATTAGAGGTAGGGTGTTCAAAAATACCCGACCCGTTGACCCGCTGACCCGCAAAGTACCCGATGGGTATTTTTGCTTTTTTCCATTTTTACGGGTCGGGTAATGGGCCGCCATCTGAGTGTAGCGGGTACCCGGTAAATACCCGATTTCTTTTTTTTTTTTTTTCTTGTTTTTCTTGGCTGGAATTCCCTTTACTCCTTTAGGTTAGTGTTGCTCACTCACACTCACTTATTGGGCTTGTAAGTAGCCGCATCTCACAATTCTCACCCCTCTTCTCTCTTTTCTCCCCTCTCAAACATTCAAACACTCCCCTCTTAGGCAACGAGCACCGTCCTTCATTCCTCTTAGGCGACCTCCGACCTCGCTCTGTCAGTCCCTCAACGTCAGCCGCGTCTTTTTTTTTTGTGGAAGTAGGTTTTGTGTATTCTGGTTTGTTTGTTGGAGGGGGAAAAATCATCCATGTATGTTTGAAACTACTAGTTTACTACCCACTGTTAAGGAATGATATTCTCAAAGTAAATATCTTCTATTATTTTGTAAATATTCTCTGCCTTGATTCTAGGAATATTTAGTCAGTAAATTAGTCTATATAATTAGCCTTAATCTCCTCCTTAATCTTAGTGATTGATTGATTGTAATCTTGTATAGCCTAACTTAGCCAAAGCCCATACCAATTGTATTCAGTTAATGAGAAAAAATAATAACTTCCTTCATAATTCTTAATTTCTTATGCTCACCTATTGTAGATGGGTTGGTTTTGTTTGTTGGTAGTAGCAAACTAGCAGGTTTTTCTTTCCTTTTTTTTTTAAATTTTTTTTTTTTTTTGTGAAAATAGCAGGTTACTTGTAAAATAAAAACACTCAGTTTTTTTTTTTTTTTTAATGAAAAAAGTAGGTTCTTTTAATAAATAAACACATTAGTTTTTGTTTTTAATGAAAAAAGGTTTTTCTGTGATAAAATCAGCAGTTTTTTTTTAAAAAAATATAGTATATTAAAATTTTGGGTACCCGGTAAAAGCAGGTACACCCGCTTACCGGGTCGGGTAATGGGCAGCCTAAATTACTACCCGCACTTCCGGGTACCCGGTTATGAACACCCCTAATTAGAGGTATCCATGGAAAATGATACTATAAAGTCAGGGATTGATTATATGTCTTGGATTGATATGTATCACTACCCGTGTTTTTCGTCTGTAATCTCCACGAGTTTCGTACAGGGTAAATCGTCATTGACAGAGAGGAGAGAGAGAACTTAACGGCTCATAAAGATGAGATGTGTGAAATCGTGTACTTGGTAACGACATTACTCAAACATATTGCCACACAGGATGTCCCCACGAAATTTGACTCAGCAGCTCATGAACTATAAACATGAAAAAAAAATTCAAAAATGCCATCGTGAGAAACGAAATTGTTTCTCACCATGAGGAATGGGGGCTCCCTCCTTCAATAACCCCCAAACTTAAAACTAACCTATAAAAAATCCAACTCATAATCAGACAAAGTAATATAAAGCAATAAAAACATGATTAACCAAGACATAAACAAGAGCTACAAATTAAACATAAAACTAGAGCAAAGAAACTAGCTGAGTATCACAAAGCAGCTCGTGAGTCCAGTAGAAGCAGAGAATACTCAAAACTACCTCACCGACATAAACAAACACCACAAACAATCATCGAGGCCACCATAAGAAGCCCGCCTCACCTTAATCGGACCTTAAACTAGGGGGGAAACCCTATTCCTAACTTCACCGTAATCGTCGGGAAAACAGTTAACGAAATTCCTTTCGACGACAACGTTAAGAATAGCCTTTAGCTCCTTAATTTGATGGATAGTTGAATTTTGAAACCCTTAACAATACACCTAACTTGAGAGCCACCGATTGAGGTGAAGACAACAAACCTCTCTGTTAGCTCCCTTGAATTCAAGGTCTTTACCATGAAAAACCTAAAAGAAAAAAGACTAAAGGAAAAGCTAAAGAATTTGAGTCACCGAGGATGATGGTAGGGAAGGAAGGAAGCCTTGGGAGGATAAGATTTGGTTTTCTAGAAACAGCAGAGATCTTTAAAAAGAGGAAAAGTAGTCAATTTCGTGACCAACTTAAAACAGCCAACAAAAACTAGCCTTAAGGTCTGTTCATATTTACTGAACTGAGCTGAACTGAACTGATTAGAGCTGAACTAAACTGATTAGAGCTGAGATGAATATTTTATGAGAAAAGGAAATAAGGAGCTAAAATGATTGGAGTTAAACGAAAGTAAACATTAAGTTGAAATGAACATGCCCTTAGTCTATCAAGTATCAATCTAACCAAACAAGGCACTGACATTGAGCATCCAACAAACCAGTAACAAGATCAATGTTAAAATCATACGATAAATTACATTTAGTAACGCATTAACATTAAAAAAAAAATAAAAAAAAGGCAGAGAAAAAGGGAATCATAAGCATCAATACAGATACAATGGATTTCACAGAGTCTTGCGGAAAAAACTTTCAGCTGAAACGCCAATACATTAACCTTACCTAAGATTTAATACAGTATATGCAACAAGTTTGCACAAAAACCATCAGAGTGCTCAATGTGCCAGCAAGCTTTAATCATGTCCATCATCTTGGGCTATCCACAAAATTGTTCAAATATAGCTTCCTTCTTCATTTACTTAAACTTCTACCTTGCCCCAAGCTTCAACAGAAATGGCCTCAGAGCTTTATGATGAGTCCATAGAGGGAACCAGTCATAAGAAGGCAAGAAGCATATTGTTATCAACAAAAACAGCAAACCTTTTTTATACTAAAAAATCTAAAAGAGCAATTTTGTTTTTACTTCAGGTCTCCATCATACTTGCTTGATCTTTTTCCACTGATATCCAGAGCTGGCTCCATAGTCCATATCCTATAAGCTGATGCGCCTGACGCAAATGTTAAATGCCTCAATAACTTATATTGAAGTCCAGAACCTATACTCCTACTTTGGAGGAGTAAAATATACGTAATGGTACACTCTCGCACCTTTGAAACTTAATTCTCTGAGAAAACTGCCAAGTACTCTTTCCTCTTGTGTAAGGAAGATAAAAGCTTCCACAGATAAACGCAAAATATACTTGTATCATCCAACCAACCTTGCAAACTAAAACCCATATCCCTTAAATAAACTACAAAGCACCTATAAGTGGGCCTTTTCCTAGTCCACCAACGAAAGAAATGAAAATATGGTGGTAAATAAATTACCACTTGGATACTACCTTCCATCGCCTATTAATAGATCTTTCAATCAAGGACCAGCTTCATTAGTTGTCACACCATCACCCTGGGTTAATGAAATTGTAATTGGCTGCCATCCTGGTGTAGAGTGTTTGATCCACTGTTTTTTAGTAATTAACATGTTCAGTATCTGGAGCACATGCCCCAGAGATAAATCTCGCAGGCATGAATTTTTCAAGACTAATGCAGCTTCATACCTGACAGAATAAGTATTAGCTAACATTGATATTTAAAAAGCCTTTGCTTATAACTTACGGGAGAGAGTAACTATTACCTGCACACAGAAGCAATTATAGCGGATCGTCCTTTAGTAGAAATAAGAAACTCACGAACTTTATCCCATGTTTCCTTAGAGTAGTCGTTAAGGTAGCCACTCATTGGATTTATACAATTCCATACCCCTTGACTCTTTATCACATATAGCTGAACTTGACCCAGCTGTAGTTTATCTACCATGTTCTGTTTAATGGCACAGTCCAAGGCCTTCCTCACGTCAGTATTATGGTGCTTTGAATTATCTCCAAAACGGATACAATCAGTTATATTTTCCTCTGTGGGTGCAATATTTTCTTTTCTAAGGCTGTCTAAAGCAAGCAAGATAACCCCAGCAAGACCCTGCTCATATTCAGAGGGAGGTGATGCTGTGCCTGAAACAACATTGGCAGTTGGCAAGGCTGATGAAGTAGACGGAGGCACAGATAATTGTCCATTTCGGTGAGAGGAGTGGTTTGTGTTCATATTAGGGCCTTTGTTGGGTGGATTACGATTCTCAGAATTCGAATACCTGTGCGCTTTATGCTTAATCTCTCCCCTAACTTGCTGTGGAAAACTAGAAGGATTTCGGACATAATTTGGGTGTTCAGATATGCTTAGTTTACCAATATCAGGGGCACTAGTGAAAGGAGCTGATGAGATAGGCGGACCTTCAGATCTGGACGGTGAAGGATGTGTATAGAAGTTGCCTGCAGCAGGCGGATACACATTTCCAGCTGCGGAATTAGAATGTATAGGAGCACTGCTTGGCCTAGATGGATAGGGATATTGAACTCGTTGATTTGAGATGAAATCAGACTTACTTCGAGCAGAAGATTCAAGATTGCTGGGGAAGCCGCCGGAAGCAAACTGACCTGCAGAGGCAATATGCTTGTTAGCACCAAAGAATTCATGTGGGGCTTTTCTAACTGTTGGTGCTTCAGTATGCTCCAACTGGCAAGGGTAGTCTAGTTTCTTACTTTCTAGAACCCCGGAAGGCATGCTAGGGGCCTTTTGCAGACTTGACTGGTTTGAGGTCTTGCGGACATACGTAGGTTTCGATTTAGTATCTCCTGCCCCAATTCTCCCAGAGTTGTCAAATTTCGGAGTAGCAATGGGATGTTTGGCATGTAAATGAACAGGTTCGGGAATAAGGTGGTTATCGGGCATTTGGGGGTTGAAGTAATTATTGTTATTAGAAGAATCATGATTACCATTGTTGGGTGGAGGGGAGTCATTTCCGGTACGAGGAGGGCCACCATCTACCAGACTAGTCCACAACCACACACTTTTAGCTGCAGCAACAAGGGCGGCAGAGGCTTTAAAGGGTTGGGCAAGAAGAATATTGTATCTTCTCATACGCAGCTGGTGGAGGGCATTTGCAAAATCACGATCGCCAGAAATTAAGAGATAATTAGCAGGGGCAGGGTTGTCAACAGCCCAGAAGAGCATATCAACTAGAATCTTCTTGTCACTGGCATCTTTAACACCTGGTGAAAGTTGTAAACAGAACTCAGAAACAGAAGGCAAAAATCAGAAAAGAATATTCAGAGCAAGAAGGTGAAAAGGCAGAAAAAAAGAATTTGTATAATTGCTGCAGCGTTTAAATGCTATATTTGTGAGTATGAGTCCCGGGGGGCAGGTGGAGACCCAGCCCTCATGGCTCAGCTCTGAAGCCTTAACACTGTCTGAATCAGCCCCTAAAATTAGATATATACATTTTCTGCAATTAATGTGCAAGAGAGGCATGTTGTCTCAGTAGTTATGAACTTATGGGAGAGTAATCTACTTGTCATGCAGTACAGTACTTTGTGTTTTTCTTAAAAATGATTTTCCCCATTAATCCTCTTGATAAAGTAACAAATTTATTTGCCCCATATCAAATTAGTAGAGCAATTAACTAGTGTTTATTATCTCACTACATCACTACATTCATTCTGATAATTCATTAATATTTGGATCAATTGGTAAATTCTCAATGGTAATCCCTAACTTTTACTACACTAAAATGGCAATCCTATTTTTTCTATATTCACAAAATGACCCTAATTCAGTTTTCATTCCCACTTATGTATGAGTGTTTTATCTTAAATTTACAATGGTTAGGGTTTTTTTTATATAAAAAAAATAATAAAAAAAATAAATAAAAATAAAAATAAAAAAATCATCCACCACCCATCTCTATCCTCTTTCCCAACCTAGCTACCATTAAATCCACCCACAGCGGTGGCGACTGCAACCCACAACCATAGCTAGGGCTGAAAAAGGCTTACCTGACCTGAATACAACGGGTTTGGGTTGAGATTTTAAACCCAAAAACTTAAATGATTCGACATGAACCCGACCTGATAATTAAATGGGTTAGATTAAGGTTGAAAATTCCAACCCGAAAATGACCCACATAACCCGAAAATATTTTTGGGTTAAAATCGATAACCCAAACTCGTATAAGTTAAATGAAAAAAAAAATACACACACACACTAAAGAAACCTAATGAAATCAGCCCAAGCCCAAATATAGGTCTTTATATAAACTAAAACCCTAAAATCCTCTCAAACACTACACTCACTCCCTACCGCCGCATGATATAAGCTCTCTTTTTCACTCATCAGTCTCATTCATTTTATCTCCCTTCAACAACAAGTAAAACAATCAAAACCTAAAATCCTTTCCCTTGCCACGCCTTCTTCCCCTTGAACAATCGGACATCAAGGCTATCCTATTTGCAAGTGTTCAAACTTCATCTGTTTAAGGTAGCTTGCTAAATTCAAATTTTTCTTATATGTTTTTGTTTTGTTTTGCTTATTAGATTTTAGTTGTTCATGTTAATAGTTTAATACACTTTAAGTTTATGTTATTAATTTCTATTTTTGTTGTTTTGTTGATATAATTTAAACTTTTTAACTAATTTATAAAGACTTGTCCATATAATTCAGTATTTAATTTCGGTTGATATAATTTCTATTGTTGTTGTTGTTTAATTTCCTTAGAACGGTTCATAATCTCCACATAATTACTGGTTTAGCTAATTTATGAAGTCTTATAGTCTGATTTAGATTATATGCATGTTCTAATTAGTTTTTGTTTTGCTTTTTATGTTTGACAGCAAGTAATGGATCCTTAATTGGAAATGTTGTGTGGATCTATGGAAGCTTGAGGACGAGGTGGTGAACAAGGATGACAAGCCACATACATCTATCACCCGATCTTGATCCATATGAAAGTTCTTATATTGTTGAGAATTAGAATATGTGAAGTTGTGTTTTTGAAACTTGGTTTGTAATTCGTTCACTACACTTTCTTCTGGTTTGTAATCGTTAATTAGGATTTGTTAAGCTGTTTATTTTGGTTTGAATTAAAGCGTTGAACCTAAGAAGAAGAGCTTATGCGTTTCAAAATATAAGATCATTTGAAGAAAAAAATCAAGTTATTCAAGTCACTTTCAAGATCAAAGCAACCTGAATTAAACCCATACAAAAAAATCAGGTCAAATAAGGCTAATTTCGGGTTGACCCAAACCCGAAAATCAGGTTCATGTTGATATTTTCAACCCAAAAAGTTAAATGGATCAGCAATTGCTGACCCGAAATCAGCTGAGGCGAACACAAACCCAACCTGATCCATTTGACAGCCCTAACCATAGCCAAGAACCTAACATGCTCCTATTGACAAACCACCCCGTCCCAACCACCCCAACAAAACCACCTACCTGACGCCGCCCCTACGGCCACCATCACCTACACAACTGCTTTAACCTTCTCCCTCCAACAACTTCCTCCACAACCCTGATCGAACCTTCGATTTTAAGGAATTATGGTGTTGATGCCAAGGAAAAGAGGTCGGGGATGTTGTTGGCAAGGAGATGAAGGTGCTAGGTGGGAGATTTAAGGAAGTCGGAGTGGTATAGGATAAGGCTGGTGTGGTGAAGGATTAGGTTAACCATAGTTAACATATTAAAGAAAACTAACCCATTGAAGTCTCGTTGATGTCATTTGTGAAATTAAAAACTTAATAAGGGTCACTTTTTGAATTTTATTTTTAAAAAAGAAGGGTTATCATATCATTGTAGCAAAAGTTAGAGGCTACCTATCGTTTTACCCAATTTAGGTTTTTTAGAAACTCCAATTTAGCACAATTAGTACTACATATAGTATAAAGCATCAAGAATCATAATCCGAAGAAAATTATTTTACGCTTATATTTTTCTAAATATTTATATCATTATTCAAAAAATAGTATGAGAGCAAGATGTTAATTTTGACCATAATTACATGTTCTTTAAAAGAATGATTTTGTTCTATCTCCTAGTCTCCTACATCAACAACTTGTATGAGCCATAAGTGAAGATCTAATTCAACAAGTATGTTATTAAGGGACAAATTATGCTCAAGCATCAGCCGATCTACTTCGCGTAAAGGATGTAAGAAATTAGGGGTAATAAATAGTTAATAAAAATTAAAAAATAAAATAAGGATTTATGAAATTAGGGATGGAAAATAAACAAAAATTAAGTCTGAAAACAAAACAAAAGGGTTTAGGGAATCAGGAATGATAAACAAGTCGGAAAACAAAACAAGGGTTTAGCCGTTTAGGGGGCATGCAAAGAATTCAGCAATAATATAATTAAAAAGAAAAAAGAGAGAGAAAGAGAGAGAGAGAGAGAGAGAGAGAAAGTAAAATAGAAAATTAAGAAGAAAGAAAAGAATCTCGAAATACCAGCAGGAACGTGATTGAGGGAGATGCCGGTGGAGGAGAGGGCGTGTTGAATGGAAGAAGGAATACGGTTGGTGTCGCCGTAAGCAGAAATGGAGACGGAACCGCCGTAATCCAATTTGATAAGTGCAGAAGTAATGTTTTGTGCAATTGAATGTGGATCGCATCCTTTAGGAACTTGACAATTTTCGATATCCCACCAAACCGACGTCTTCGCCTTTCTGTAGTCGGAATCGGCCCTGTTATTCATCACTGATCCGCCCCCTCCTCTCCTCCCATCGAATCGAATGGCTGCGATGAGCTTTCGCTTCTCTAATCTCTACTCTCTAGGGTTGCTTCTTCTGTTTAAAAGTACAAACTGCTACGAGAGAGACTAGTCTACTCACTCTTTCAATTTCTATTTTTATTGGTGGATGGATGAATGGATTGGAATGGATTCTCTCAGACGACTCCGGTCCTCTTTCGATTTTGACATCCTGACGTGCTCTTTGGATTTCTATTATGTCTTCCCCCCTTCCTTCGCGCTATGCCTCTATACTCTATAGTCTATACTCAGTCATACTCTTCACCCTCTACCCTTCCGGCCCATGGGCCCACTACTATTGCCCCCACACGCTTTATTCTAAGAGTTATGGTCAAATATAAAGTTGTATAACCCCTCATATATTCAAGGTATTCTAAGGTTATGTTCATTTGCCTTATTTTTACTAAATTAAAATTATTTTTTACTAAAGTTAAATTATTTTTGTTGAATTTAAATTATTTTTTTACTGATTTTATATTATATTTTTTTTTTCACGTGTACTGATTTTTTACTGAACTGAAATTATTTTTGCTGAACTAAACTTATTTTTACTGAACTAAAATTATTTTTACTGAATATTATTTTTGTAAGGTGAAGTGAACAGGGCCTAAGAGTTTTGTTGCGTATCCTCTTACACTTTACGTAATTTACCAATTAACATGTGATGACACCAACCAACCATTCAAGAATGCAACACGACAATCAACAATACATACAAATTCAATCTAATTTTTGAATTAATTAGTGAGCACATACAATTTATTTTAATTAAGGTTTCTTACCTAATTATGTGCACAAAATTACAATATATTACTACCTTGGTGAATTTTTCAAATTAATTTGGTTCTCTAAAGTACTATGAATAAGTTAGACGCTTTATATATATATATATATTTTTAATTTGACAAAAACACTTTTTTATGGGTGACAAAAATTATTATGATTTATTTCAAACAATAAAATAATTTAGTAATAATTGGTAAGGTTTAGTAACATATGAAAATAAATATTTTTCATAATTAATATCATAATTATTTACAAAATAATTTTTAAATTTTTTGTTGTATCTGAATTCTCTAAAATAATGGTGCGATAAAACCTCCAAAAAAAATTCACAATAAGGGCCTATTCACTTCAGTTTAATTTCAGTTTAGTTTAGTTCAGCTCCAATCAGTCCAATTCAGTTCAGTTCACCTCTTAATTTCCTTCTCTCATAAAATATTCATTTCAGCTCAGTTCAGTTTAGTTCAGTAATTGTGAACAGACTCTAATACGATATGTCAATTATGCATATTATTTTTTATTTAAATTTAAGTTTAATAAAAAAATATCCATATTTTATTAAATATTGTTTTAAATCTTAGTTATATTAAAAGATTTTACTATTAATTTAATTCTTAATATTATTATCAATTTTACACTTTTAATTAGAGAAAATTGTCTTAAAAAATTGTGAAATATAACAAAATTTATTGATTCTCTTATTATTACATATTTATTGAAATGAAACATGAATTATTATTAAAGAAAAAATTAGCTAATTATGTATCTTGCTTACACTACCAAAATATATATATATATATATATATATAAGTTAAATTATTATCAATAATAAAAATTATCATATAGGAAACGATATCATTATAACAAAAAAAAACTAGAAGGGTCCAAATTTTTCAATTTTTCTATTTGGTTGTTTTATTTTTTTGAAATAGAAAAGAAAGAATTGTTTTTATTGGTTAACTAGAAGGGTCCAAGTTTTTTAATTAAATCTCACCGGAAAAGCTATTTTAGACCCCAAACACTAAGTAGTAAAAATTGATGTTACATTGTGACTCGAAATCTAGTAGGGCTGATTTTGAACGATTATATCTCTCAAACTACAACTGATTTTCAGGTGATTCAAGTTGGAGGTGATAGCTTGGTTCAAGAGCTTTCCAACGAAGGTCAAATGCCCAATTCCGATAAGAAACGAGAAAGATATGACCGTTTTACGAAAATCTGTCGAAGCTGGAAATTTGCTGCGAGCTATAGCTCTTTACGAGTGAGCTATAGCTCGGCCCTATGAGGACTTGCGGCAGGCATGAGTTAGCTACCAAGCTATAGCTCGGTAGTTTGGTTATTCTAGGATAATTTATGGAATATTTCCTAAAATTATATCTTTTCTATGACGGCTATTTGAGTATACTTGGGGAACAATTTTAGGGTTTTATTAGGGTTTCCTTGTGTTATAAAAGGACCCTTTAGTTGATCAATTAGATCATACCTATTGAGCCATTAGATTTAAGACTCCTTGTATTATTCTCTTGTTTCTTTCTCCATTATAGTGAAGAAGCTCTCGAATCCCCCACCCGTGGATGTAGGTCTATTTTGACCGAACCACGTAAATCCTTGTGTTGTTTGTTTATCTTCTTTATTGTTTTTCTCGTTCTTAATTCCATTGACTTGTTCCGCATTAATCAAACACAATTACACCCTAATTTTCTAACAATTGAAAACCCCTAATACAATATTTTCCAAAAAGTTGGACCCTAACTATGATTTTAACTCACTTTTTTAATCTCATATGAGTATTATATTATATATATTTTTTTAAAGATTTTAAAGCCTATTAATTTCTGGTAGGACTCTTTGTTTATGAAACTATAAATATTATTTATACCCTAATCATTTTTAGCTTTGCCTCTATGTACTCCAGCTTTTAGCTGTATCCTCTGTTGCTAATCTGACTTTCACAAAATTCTTTCATGAACTTTCTTTGTGTTTTGTGAAGCAAATCTACAATCATATTATCTAAAAATCAAGGTCAACTCCTATTTTTGATATGCATGAGTATGCATCTCATATTCATGAAATTGTTAAAGGATTGGGCGGTGTGTTGACTGTGTTCCTCGTCAAACAAATTAATCATGGACTTTTATAGTTTGAGATTTTATCTACGTGAAGGTAATCACACAAACTTCTTTTGAGATGTTTGTTTAATTTAATTGTATTATTATATGTAATCTCACTATCAATTTTTAGAGTCGTATGTTTATATTTTTTTGTCTAGTAATCACACTATCAATCTTTTGGAGTTGTTTGATTATAATTTGATTGTATTATTTATTATATGTAATCACACGAATCTTATTTTGGAGAAGTTTGTAATATATTTTGTATTATCATGTGTGATATGATTTATTAATGATACCCTTTGCATATATGATTAATTATTATGATATTGTATGAATTGATTTGATTTGAATATCATATTATTTTTGTTGTGTATAATTAATTGTACAATTATTTCTATGGTTTTAATGTTGTTGGTATGGGAAGTATTATTCTCGAGGTTTAATTTTAGCGTTGTTAATGCAGAGTATTAATTATTTTTGGGTTGTGATTTAATTATATTTGGGTATTAGTTTTATTGCCCTATAAGAGTTGAGATATTCTTGTGAATCGAATTATTATGTTATTTGGGAACATGTGCCATTGTTGAGACATTATTTATTATCATGTGAAAGATTACATGATCGGTGTATGAGATCAAAAGGTTGTGAATTATTATTTTGTTCTTGGTTTGAGGCTCGACGTTATATACCTTAGTTCTTGGCATGTTGGTAAGAGAATGATGATCATGAGTTAAGAATGAGGTACAATCTTTATTTATGTTTCCATGGTCTCCTACAGTGGGAATTGGCCCGTATGTGGTCTGGTTCAAGGTGTTTTCTGGTTATTGAGAGTATTCAAGTTTTTATACTTCTTGGTTTAATTATTCGAATTACTCATGTCCAAGGTTAGGTATAGAACAAAGAGCATAGCACACTTATTGTTTATGAGTTAATTGAGTGGAGGATTGTATTATTATTTAAGGTTGAGTTGACAAAGGTTATTTTCAGTGCACAATGTGTAATGTAGTTTGAACTACATTATTTAAGTGAACTGACTATATTAAATTAATATTCTATTATTCTCTGTATTTTGATAAGTTGTGATTACTCAGCTTTTTGCTGATGTGTGTTGTTTTGTTGTGCTACTTGTGCTTGTAGCCATGTTTTTTTCTTATGGTGGCTCTGCAACAATCTATTTTGAAATTTGTCCTTAATGGTGAGCAGTCAAGATTGTGACGGGTTGATCAAGTGATGATCGTTGCTAAATGAGCTCAAGTGTTTCGATTAGTTTGTTATATTGAGTTTATAAAGTTGTATAAATAGCTCAATTAGATTATTGGGTTGTAATTATTGGGATTTTTATAAGCCTTAGCACTTGACAAGTCGTCAAGTGTGACGGTAATACCCCCGATTTAGGTGTATGCTTCCGCAAATTTATTTAAAAGTTGTTTATTTTTCCTTTCTCTTATTTATTATTTTGTTAGTAAATCGGGGGTGTTACATTCAAGGTGTTTTATGGGTGCAAGTTTGGTGGTTTTGGTGGAAGGGACATCAGGAGGGGAGGCGCCGATGTAATACCCCGTATTTTTATACATATTCTATTTAAAATAAGTATTGTTGAGGGTAAAAATACCCCGTATACGTGGACCAGTCCCGTAGTGACACGTGGCCCAGTTATAGGGTGACACGTGTCACTATGGGAAGATGCCACGCATCCAGCTCAAGAGCACTTAAAGGTTCAGGCCAATCTCGTAGCGACATGTGGCCCAGTTAGAGGGTGACACGCGTCGTCACGAGAAGACGCCACGTGTTTAGGGCATGTGTTCCCCTTAAATCAGCACACAAAAGAGGCCTAACAACGTCAGGGCCCAAATCCCGAGAGATATCATCGAAAGCCGCAAAGCGGCGCCCCCAAAAGAATACGTGGCATTCACTGATTGCGCAACCAATCACGTCACGCAATTCTAGGGTGCAAACCCTAGAATGGGGCACGAGTCCCACCCCTATAAATACCCCAATCATTTATGATGGGAGGGGTGGATTAAGATATTACAAGAAAAAGAGCATTAAATAGCTCCAACTTCTCTCTACTTTCTCTCTCTAGCCTTTTCCGTTTCCGATCACTAACTTGATCGTCGGAGGCGAATATTCCAACAACCGGAATATTCGTTGTTTTGCAGGTTAGACCGTCTCGTTGCCAGGAGATCGTGACCAGTATCCGAGGAAATCTAAAAAACACCCGAAAAATTTGGCGCCGTCTGTGGGGATACTCGTACGTTATGGCGATAGACGGTCAGACACCTAATCCAGGCGAGGACGGACATGTAGAGGATATAATCCCTACAA